TAATAGCCAACCGCATATATGCATACATAAGCGATTTACATGTGAAATGGAAATTAGAAATGCGAAATGATTGCCTACTGCCAACACCTAACGTCGCACTACAGTACCTAACAGTCCCTAACAGCCCACAACGCCCTCAAACATTGCGGGAAATTTTTCGATTTCCTTCGGTTTTGCGTTGCTTTTACCGTGTAAATACGCTCGGTGCTCGATACGTGGCAGTGCAATCTGTGAAACCAATAGCCTGAAAGCAACGATGCGTGTCAAAGTTAAATACTCGAATTTGCAAATAGCAACTATAATTGCATCAGTGGTCGCATGTACACTGTAAAGTTCTTGTGAGCTGGTGTGCTTGTGTGCTTGTGTGCTTGTACACCATGTACTTTTCAAGTGTATTTACTGTCTAGTAACAGCTTATGTTGCGTATGAGTGTTTTATGCAGTTGAACGAATGTGAACTGAATGTGTAGCTGCAATTGCATGTGCAACTGCAACTGCAACAGCCTACGCTAACACCTGCCCAGCAACAACAGTGAATGAATGCATCCTGTATAAAAATACAATTGTCATGTGAGGTAAGTGCAATTGCAATTGCATTTGCAATTGCAATTGAAACTACAATGTCAGCAAACCCAAAAAATGTTGTTTTGTTTCTTATGCATTTTCGTAGAGGTATTTATTTTTGAGACTGACGAAAACTGTTTTCGTTTTAGGTGTAGCTATGGCTGTAGTTGCTGTTGTTGTTGTTGGTGTTGTTGGTGTTGTTGTTGTTGTTTGTGTTGTTGTTGTAGTTGTTTTACAAGTGACCCCAGGGAAATCATCGACACAGTGTAGTTGTAACTTATACGTATACACCATGCTGCTGACTTTATACAAATGAAATAAAATCAAGCAACAATAACAACAACGTCTGTATAATAACAATGCAGCAAATAACCCAAAAGGGTGTTAACAAACCATAGAAAAGTTCTAAGCCTACTTCGCAATTCACTTAACAACTGTAGCAGCAGCAATTTCATTGCAACCCTACAGCCCTGCAGCAACGTTTTATTGCTGCTGGCCAAACAATTGATGTTTGCCACTCTCGGATAAACATTTGAGAATCGCTCTCAAATGCCATAAGTTGTGCCATGAAGTGTACGTATTCTAGCCTGCATACATGTTGCTATGCTGACTGCAGTAATTGCTATTTTCTGTTACGTTAAAACGTTCTGCAACACCACAAATATTTTGCAATTATTTATCTTAAATTCTCATTGATGCCATTACTATTGCAATAGCTGCAACAGTACTGTTGTTGTTCATACTATTGTTGTTGTTGTTGTTGTTGTTATAATTTCTACTGCTAATATAGTTGCCGTTGTTATTGTGGTACTTCACTGAATTCGATTTTGACTCCTGTTGCTTATTGCATAAGCACTTGAACTTATGTTACCGCCTTTGCTACTCATGCTGCTGCCATTATTTTGTGGGTTATGTACAACGTCTAACCAAATATTGAACAGTGGCCTTGTGACTTCTTCATAATTTACTAGGCACCAAAATAGCAATAACAAGAAAAACAGTAAAAGCAATTGTGTGCACTGAATTAACATCAACAAAAATAAAAATAAAAATAAAAATAAAAAAATGTAAGTCAAAAACACTTCTCAACGGAGTCGAAATTTAAAATAGGCGTCACGTAAGTTTGCAATTCCAAAAACCTACAAAATTTAATTACAAAAACCATTGTGTTTATATTCGTAACAATACAGCGGGCTATATTTACATAATTCAGCCATCAAACAAATCCATTGCAGCCAAACAGAATATACCTACTACATTATAATCCAGTCGATACTTTTATACTTTTACATAAGCTGCGAATAGGAATAGATAATGGCTGAACGTTTTATTCATTCCATACCAATATAACGAAAGTACACAATAAAGACTTGTGACTAGAGGTTGAATCATTTCAATTTATTGAAAGCTATTAATATTCATTCCGCATTGTTTCTCCAACAGTAACGTACCGGGCTCTTGGCATGTGTGAGTCCCAATACCTTGTGTGGTGAGATTACCATAATAATAATTATAATAATATAAATGTCATCAGCAATAGTAGACCAAAATTAAGTAATTAAAATGAAGTATAGACAAATACGTAAAGTATACTAATTTTATTAAAAATTAAGTGGAGTTGAAAAGTAGAAATCGAAAATTTCATGACTTTATGATACTTTACAAATTGGTTCAATTGTAAAGTTTATATAGTTGTAATTTATTTAGATCTGCACCCTATATAAATCTATTATAGCTCAGAACCTGTTAGCAAGACTGCATCTATATTTCAAATAATGGCAGCTGTTATTCTTGTATATAAGCCTGTCATGACGTTTTATAAGTGAATTTTAGAAGCCACTCGCCTTTGACAGAGACTTTGTCGAACAAAGTTCTTTCTAATTAAAAAAATTCTCCACATAATTGCAGAAATAAAATAAAGTCATTTAGGTCATTAACCTTTATTATCATTAACCATGAATATTCAAAAGATGGCAAGTACCATTATTTGTTGTAATACTGACGCCATTTGGCTGTGATAGTCGATGAGCGATGGTGACTATTACTCGTCAAAATTAATGAATGCCTTTGAAGCCGTAGTCTTTAACAGAGACATTGTCTAAACAAAGCACTTTCAAATTAGAAAAATTCTCCACTCAATTGGAGAAATGAAATTATCAAGCTCACTTAATAAATCGGTTGTATTAAAATTTAACCATTAACCTTTATTATCATTAACCTCGAATGGTCAAAATATATCATATACCACCATTTGTTATAATATTGACGCCATTTGACTGTGATAGGCGATGAACGATAGTGACTATTGCCCATCAAAATTAATAAATAGCTCTGAAGCCGTAGTCTTTTACAAAACGTTAAGATAGATAGTAAAACATTAAGATAGATAATCGATAGACTAGTTTTCAAATTTTATTTTGACTGCACAATAATCTCCATAGTCAGCTACCGTAAGTAATTTGGACTTCTAGGCATAAAAAGGATCGAGTTTAAGGTATGAAACATCTTACAAGTCAAGATCAGCACTAACTGTTGAAGAATCTTACTGAGTTTCTAAAAGTAGAGGTGTAATTATTATTATTTTAACACAACCAAAAAATCAGTATTTTAGGTTACAGTGACAGTTATTAAAACTATATTAAAACGTTATTAAAATTAAGACTATTGAGTTATTTAAACATATGAAATGTTATAAATTTCAATAGAGTGTATTTTTTGAATTAAATTTATTTAAAGGTACAAATCATATATATGATGAAATAACTATTTACCCCTTTTATTTCAGTTTTGAAAAAATATTGCTCTGAAAATGGTCTACGAAGTACGACGAAATATGTGTTTTAAATAAATAAGTTACTATTCCTATTTAAAATTAACAAATAATATAAATATTTTTACACACATATCTTTTATATATTATTTAAATACCTATTACACAACATAAACCTTATCAAACCAGTCGGAAAGTCTTCAAAATGCTATATATGTGTATAGAAATGTGTAGATATGTATGTATAAAAATTTATGTAAATTTTGTATGTATATATATTCTTTCATCTATGCTCAATATTACTATAAACCAAATAATCTCTTCTTATACAGAACATTTATAATCAAAGCTTACGCCTCACATATCCCCCTATGTAACTATTTAAAAATTCAAAATTCGATATTGAAAAAGCTTATCTAAGTCAATTCACTAAAATCTGTTTATTTTATTAAAAGACAAAACTATGGATATTATAGGTGATGTAATTTTAAGAGTTGGTTGTTTACTGTGGCAGGTTAGCAGATATTCTCTCGCAGCCCAATATTAGAGATTATTGATTGTTTCATTAACACAGTCTTCACAGAAAATTTAAAGAAAAAGAAAAAAATCTATCCTGTTTAATTTAATGCATTTATTAGACCCTTCTTCTTTACCAATGAACGGTCCAACAAATTTTCAACAAAGTATCTCATGAAGTCTTTAAGGTAGAGTCTACTAATGTTAGGAAACATTATTCAGAAAATTATCATATGTATCTAAAACTTTATTTAATTTTAAAAAAAAAATATATATGCATTTATATGTATTCATATATTCTATTTTATTTTATTTTATTATCTAATATAAATATAGCTAGTGAATTTGTTAATAAAACTTTCACAGCAAAATAAAAAAACTCTAGAAAAATGTGCGAAGATAAAAGTCAATAACGGCTTTGGGTCAGTTAGTTAAGCTGCGCTGACTCTGAGTTTCAAATTTGGCAGGGCACGAGTTCGATTCCTGGTACTTGCAGTCTTAAAAAATTATTTATGAATAATTAAATACAACAGTTATTTCCAAGACCATTGATGATTGGTGTTTGGCAATACTCGAAACTAAAAATTCAATTAATTAAAATAATATAAAATGCACTTTTGTTGTTGTTGTTGTTCGAGAAACCTCTTTATATTTTATTTATAATATGTATTTAATTACTTTTTTTATAATTTATTATATATATTGTATATATATGTTATTATATATATATTATAAAATATATTATATATATTATATATAACTTTATTCTTAATCAAACAAATATATAAATTATTGTAAAAACTAAATAGTTAAAATAACATTAATTTTTTTTTATAAAAACTTCCAGCTTATGAAAAAATTAATACTTTTTTAATTCATCTATGCAAATAAAAATTTACTACACTTAACTGCATCGCTCTTAAAAAACTTAGTTCTTTATTATTTAAGCTTTATAGTTTTTTCCATCAAACCTTAAGGTGTCCCGAATCCAAATCAATATAAGTATTTATTTAAATTGCATTTTCGATATATCTTCTCTTCTTATTTATGTTTTTGCTGTCAACTTTTCGATTACCTTGGCACTACTAAAACATTGAATGCATTTTCATTTAACTGCCACCATTTTGTCGACGGTCTATTGCCGATTGCAGTACTTATGGCAGAAATTTAGCAGCAACAACAACTTGCGAGGACAGCATTTACTGCATGACAAAGGCTTACAATTTGGCATCGATTTTGAGGGTTTCGAGCAGGATGAGCCGGCAAAGCCTCAAATTATCACTAAAACCATAACGACATTACCCAGTAACGAGCATGACGATGCTGCAGCATCGGATATAATAGCGAAATCTCAGCACACTCACACTCTCACACAGTCACAGAACTTACCGCAATCGCCGCATGCACGTTGGCAAGGACATTGGAGCGACAGCCATGTTGCCGATAGCACTGCTACGAAGATGGAACAAATTATCACATATAAATGGGTACCAAGTGATTGGACTGAATGTACACAGAAGTGCGGCACAACGGGCACAGGACTCAAAGTAAGTAAAACTACTCTATTTTTTTTTCAAATTTTTTTTTGTCGCTTTGTCTAATAAATAAAAGCCAAAAATTTTTGTACCAATGTGTCGAATTGCATTGAATCTGTGAATCTGTAGGTTGCGATGTGGTTACATTTTTCTAAGTAACTTAGAAGGCTGCACATTATTCGGCCAGTTGCAGTTAAGCAATAGTCGCTACCTCTTTGCCCCGTACCTAAACCGCATTACTGCTTTTATGATTTGTCAGCATGTTTCTTTCGTCTACGAAATTTTGCCATCCATGTTCTATGGAAGATAAAATTTGCAGAAATGCACTTTTGACAATTATCAACAAATTAGCTTCTCATATAAGATTATCGGTATTGCGGATGAATTGCAATTTGAAGTCTATTGTTTGGACGAGCTCCTTGAACGAAAGTTCTGCTCCAAGCCACTTGGTATAAAAATATTTTATTGAAACAATGAATCGAGCAGACAAGGAAAGAGAATAATCGTAAACTAAAGAAGACTTTTTCTTTCTTTGTTTACTAAAACGTTACAAATTGACTTTTTTCGTAATTGATTTGCCGCTAGTTAAGCAATTCTTCAATCTATGGGATTATCTTTAAAACGATGTAATTGCTTTTCTTTTACAGTACATTAGCGTTTCATCACTTTAGGCGAATGCGATTTAAGGTTTTATGCATTTATGTTTAATTGTATAAACTATATATATATTATATGCAATATCACTTCAGGGAAAATTTTAATTTTACAGAAAGAGAGTGAGATATTATGGTTATTTGCAGAAATACTTATGCATAATTGCATATAAATCAATTTTGGTGAATGTTCTGCTTCCTGTGTTAACTGTGTTGACTAATATTCAACTGATATTCCCCTAGTTAGCTGCTAGCAATCATATATGTACATAAAGCCTCTATTGAATATGAATAGCTGAACAATAGTTGCATTCAATGAATGGTATTCTGAAACATATCATTTTGTTTCGCTTTTGTGTCTTAACTATACGATTCTTCAGAATACTGTACGAACGATGTACCAACAGTTCACTGCCTATTTAAAAACTATATTGATCAAAAAGAGATAATATTTCAGAGCCTGTTATGACAATTTTGGGTCAGAGGAGTAAGAAGAAAATATCCATATGCGCTCTGTCAATATTCATTAATCACTTAAAAGGCGACAATCATCTATAATTCAATTTCCTTATTATTAAATTAACATCTCCAATGAGAACAGAGCAATTGGAGTACTACTACTTAAAAACGAACCTGTAGTTTGCAGGTCCCAGTGTAACCATAATAACTTAGAATAATCCTAATATAGCAGAACATTATTCAGATTTTTACCAATTAATTAACTACCGGAAGGAATATTAACGAAATATCTTCTCTTCTAAGGTACTAGTATCGATCCATTTAGAACCATAGATTTCAAAACTAATTGAAATTAAAATTTATATATCTTCTTCTTCTTCTTTGTTCCGTTAACTCCCAGTGGAGCATAGGGCCTCAAAATTTATATATAGTTTGTTATTATTTAATATGAGTGTCTCTTCTACTCAAACTTACTACACACGACTTTATTTTTTGGTTTTCCGTTAATGACCTGTTCAATAATCATTTGCTCCTTGCAACTTCTCATACTTTGAAACAACTATTATGTTTCTATTAGTATTTAGTTAATCATTCTGTTAAAGCATGCTAATAAGATAATGATGTATAAGGTATGGAAATTTATTATTAATCTTTATATTATCACAGTTTTTATCGATACCCTTTCTTATTAAGATTGGATAGATTACTTCCTTTATTAGAAATCCTGAAACATTAGATTGTCTGCTGAGAGCTGGCTTTTGAAGTTCCACAAAATTTATAGTACCACAGCATTTCTATCAATATTTCTATCAATATTCTATCAATATTGGATATATATTGTCATTATTATTATTCAACTTTTCCACAGTCCATTGAGTAGTATTTAAACTTTCCGGGCATTAAACCATGTGTTTTATGCCTCAGTAGTAGTACTTCTTTAATAAAGTAAGCTGTTTTTCTCGGTACCTGCATTTCTATCACCACATACTCTTTAAGATTGAGATCTATTATTACTTTATTGATTGCTGGTTTTGGTATGGTGTTGTTGCATTAAATAACTTGGTGTTATTCAAATTTTTAAGATTTTAAAATGATATTAAGTCATTGATATTTACCAATTGAAGTTATATATTTTTTCATATCGCCACTAAATCCCTGGAAAGTCGTTAAATCAATCTACATTATGTTGAGTATATCTATTATGACAACATCAGGTTTATTGGTAAACCTAAAAGCTGTTTGAGTGTTCCTCAATATCGATCTGTCTCAGTATATAGTGTACTGATTAGAACACTATATACTATGGGATTTAGTGTGGATTTTGGCTAGTATTAGTAGTATTGTTCGATACTATTATTTCTTAATTCTCAATTATTTTTAACCGTTTATGTTAATTAATTGTATTTCTCCCTTGGAATTTCTCATCGCATATGCTTCTTGATTTCTACTACTTAGTCAAATTTTTTGCATTTTTCTTTTGTGGTAAGCTCTATGCTCCTCCTAGGAGTTAAAGAATTTATATATATTTTTGGTATGCAATATTTTCAGGAAGTGATTTTTATAGGTTCTATTATATATTACTTCATCTCTATTTGAGAAATATTGAACCTATTGCAGACCGTTTATACATATCGTTTTCGTCTATGTATATATGACTGTTCCATTTTGTTAGGGTGTTTTTAGTCTCTAGTATGGTTAAGATGGATTTAGTCTCTACTCTTCTAAAGTAGGGACTCTTGCGAGGAATATATATATCGATTTCAGGTAATTAATGGTTAATGGGTCTCTCGTCTTTACCGATAAACAGTCTGATAAACTGTCATAGAAGTAACTTCCTTAAAACCTATTTTTTCTGGTTGCCAAAGCCGATCATTCACAGAGACACTAACTTCGAAAATATACAAGACTGGGGAGGTTTTTACTTCGATCTAAAGATTTTTAGTTGGTCGGGTTTATGAAACATAACTTATTTATCAAAAAATATATATAAATATTAAAAAACACTTTTATTTATTCAAAGTAAATTTAATATAAGTGTTTAAAATACCTATGTTCTTATCATTGCTAAAACATACCATTTATTAATTAATTAACTTGAAAGCTGATAGCATTTTTATTTGTTGCTTTAGTTTTAATTTAATCATGCGAAACTAATTGCCAGGAAATTGATGCATTCAAAAACCTATTATAAATTTATAAATTGAAATAATCTATTTCTCGAAGTCAACTGTATTATCAGTTGACCACTAACCAGGAAGCAAGAATTATTAGATACAAAGAATGCATTTGGTTAACTTTATGCAAAATAACAATTTTCACTGGAAAAAGCATTTAATTAAATTTCCTTTCATTTCAATTTTGCTAACCCGTAGCATCGGTCCATAACATGTGTACGTTTGTTGGAACCTGCCCACACCAATGATGCCATAAATATCGACGAGCAGACAAAGTATGAAATTGTTGACAACACAAACTGCGAGAGCTACGGTTTAAGTACACCGGACACAATTGAAACGTGCGGTAATCAAGAGTGTCCCCAATGGATTGCCGGCGAATGGACAAGCTGCTCTCAATCACGCTGCCTGGGCCGCAACATAGCTGTACAGAAACGTGAAGTTAATTGTGAGTATGCAAACTACACCGAAGCGGATGGCTGCGATGAATACAATAAACCAATAATAAGACAGGAATGCTTTAGTGAACGCTGCAAAGGTGTTTGGCGTGTTGAACCATGGTCAGAGGTAAGTCACTAAATCAGTCAATTAACCATCGTATACGATAATTGATAAACAAAATAACTCTTGAAATATTTAATATTTGCAGTGCAATGCGCCCTGCAACCGACAAGGAATCAAGTATCGCATACTGCAGTGTGTTTGGTATGGCACGCGGCGCCCTGCAGGCAATGCCTGCAAGCATCAACCACGACCGGCCGTGATGAAAGTCTGCAAGAGTCCGTCATGTATTGCCAAATGTTAGTAGATGTGACAAATTTGTGTGAAAATTTTGGACATTTGAGTAATGAAAACTGCTAAATTGCACATTTGGCATTTAGTCTCATTGCTTGCAACATGTTCGACATATCTAGCTTAGTTCACGTTTAATTAAATTCGTTTTTCTGTTCACAGCTTCAACGTCAATTTGCATAGATACTTCAAGATACTGCCGTAACGTACGTTCAATGGGTTTGTGCAGACTGCATCGTTACCAAGAGAAATGCTGCAAATCATGCAAAATTCATTTATTCAAATAAATGAGCAAATACCATAAGCAAATACCAATTTACCAAAAAAAAAAAAATATATATATATAAATGAAAATAAAATTAAATTAAGGAAAGAAAATGAAACTAAACCAAAACTAAACAAAAGACAAAATCATATAACAAAATTAAGTAAACTTGCAAGCAATTATTATTAAATAATTAAGAATAACATATATATAATTATGAATTACAAATTTATATAAAATATATATATGTGCAGAATTATACAATGTATTAACTAGGATAGCACAGGAATATTACAATTAAGTTAAACTATACGAACAAATTACACATGTGCGCATACATAAAAAACTATAAATAGTTTATAATATAAATTTTATAATAATAAAATATATAAAGCAATTATACATATATACATATACAACAAATATAAATACAGAAGGAAAAGTAACGATAAAGACGCATCAACTAATCTTTTAAGAATGATTAAAAATAAAATATATTAAAAAAAATTGTTTGTTATACGCTTAACTAAAGTATCTAAACACTTATAAATCTGAAGTGAAATCTGAAGAAAACTTTAATGAAAATATGTTAAACGAAGAGAATGAATAAAAATTTGTAAAGCTTGAAATTAATAATTCTACGCAAATATACATTCCACTATTGTAACGTATGAAAACTATGAACTATGCATTATACTATATAAAGTATAAAGAGAACAATTAAAAATAAATTAAACTATAGAAAAATTATTAAAGCAAATTAAACCTTTATTGAAAGCGTTGAAATTATCTTAACATACTCACATATATAGTATTGTAAGAATCATTTACATCAATGTATACAATTGCTAGTAAATAAGTATCTACCGAGATATACGCATCTATATTCTATATTAATTTTAAATTATTTTTACAATATATGGTACACCTCAGTTTAAACACAGTTAAAATATTTTTAATGATTAAATTAAGATTTCATTAGATAATAAAGCTTTTTATTCTATAAAATGAAATTGGGAAATATATATTTAACAAAGTATTAATGATTTATATATTAATATACATTAATATAAATATAAATTCAATATAAATTTTCAATTATATGTATAATATATATATAATTTATAAATAATCGTACATACCATAACTCAATACATCAATTAGTCTGGAGATATAGAATACTTTTTTAAAAATATTTGTTTACCATATACATGGAAAAGCTTCTCCATGTACCCAAACAATGCGCAGGCATCGTATTTTAAGTTGGTTTGGTTGGATTAGTAGATTTCAGCGACGATTGGCAACAGCTAACATACATCTATGAATATAAGACACTAAGTTTTACAAACAACCTATAGCTTGTGCCTTTTGCCTTTCTGATTAAAGTAAAAGTTTTAATTTCGACTCAGATGACTTATCACAAGTATAGCCATTTTGATTTCACTACTATTTTCGTTCTCAAATTATTGTAGAATGTCTACATTTGTTAAAAAGCATTTCTAACTTTTCGATTTAGACGGCCTGTCACAAGTCTTACTACTTCAATCCTACCACCGCCCTATAAGTCCTGCAACATCATCTCTACCCATCTCCAGCATCGTTTTTGTTTTCAATAAACTGCGCCAAAGCCACACTTATTAGGATTTTTCACAGTCCACCATAGTTTTCAATTTCTGTGTGGTAATCTTAGAAAGTTATTTTACTTAAGTCTTGAACTTATCATGAACTGTAAAACCTATTTTTCGCATATTAAATATAGAGCATGATCAAAGATAGGTGTTATTGACTGTATTTTTAAAGATCGTGAGCTTTTGATAAAGGGATTTGAAAGTAATTACTTAGAAATAGAAATAGTATATTAGAAATGCAAACATATTAACTAAATTTCAAATATCGATTTCTATATTGGAATTTATATATAAAGTCATATACGATACGACTTTAGTTTTAAATTATATTTTTCAAAAAAAGGAGCTCAATTAAAATAATTTAAATAATTATATAAATAATTTATAATTGAATTCATGCAATTTATGGAATTTATATACGCTATATACTAATGATCTTAATTTAATTAGTAAATTTTTTTTAATTTCTTTAATTCTCAAATATGTATATTTATTATTTCACTAGCAATTGTAAACAGAAAAAAAAATTAATTATTCACATTTGTAAAAACGAAATATTTATATAAAAAACTATTGTAAAATTTTACTGTATTACTGGCATATATATTGTAATTATAATTCGAATTATAGTCGGTATTACCGACTTAAATTTAGTGCACTGGACCTGCTGAAGTGCGCAATAATACAAAAATTTACTGAAATTAATAAATTTATCATTTCTGGTTACGAGTAGTAGAGAGATATACGTTAAAGTTTAATATCACCGGACATAGAGTTTAATTAAAATTAATTACGAGTACTCGTTTAACTATAAGACTTATTGTTTTTAATACATATTCTTCAATATTTTTAGTCTTGCATCTCATTTATTGTATAAATATATGTTTTTTTAATTAATTTCAATTAAACTTTATATAAATTTAATTAACTATTGCAGTTGCTATATGACAGTCATCAACTTTTTATAAAGTAAATTGTAATTCTCGATAAAATTTCTTGTAACTAAAGCTTTTAATCCTTGAAATCTGAATATATTTTGTCATTGAATAATTTATTTGTTAGAAAATATGTTATAAACTTAAGAGAGCAATAAAGTTTATTACTTGAAGCTAATTTTTATATACTTGAAATTATTTTGTAATATATTGAAGAGATAATTAATATTTTAAAGATTTCAAATCAGTAACGAATTTCGTGTTCTTAACCATTTTAATTTATTTTAAAAAACTCTTAAAGAATTTTGATTAAAATACAGAATAAGTCTCGCCTCCAGGCGACTACTCTAACTATTTAGAAAGCTCTAACCTTCTTATGTTATCAGTACCAAATAGTTTAATGAAAATTACCAAACAACTGTTAAGTTCTTATAACTTATCATCATATAAGACATTTTGTGTTAATAGGAATCCTATTACTTCAAACTACAACTGTAAAGTTAATTTATTTAGCATAAAAGTCTTATCCCTAGAACTTCAAAAGCAAAATTAAACATTTTCTTATATATTGAGAGTACTAGTACCTTTAGTAATTCAAGAAAACTCCTCAGATACTCCAATACTATAATTTGTTGCATCAGTTATTTCTAACAGCAAAACACATTCTAATCTTAGTAGAAATATTAAAAAGTTTTTTATCTTAATTAATATATAAAATTACGAGTCAACTTTGATTATTGTGAATATTTTTAGTTTAACTTCGAAGCTCATCTTCAATAAAAACAAGATAAAAGCCAATTCTTATTAGAGGTCAAAATGCACCACAACCAGAATGGATCTATTGGACATAGTCTTCATTCTTAACTCTATATATGTAGGGTTTATATAAATTTTAGCACAATTCAATGCTTATTGTTCCAGAGTTTATATTGATGCCTAACAACATTTTTTAGTGAAGACTCTATCTCTCGAGATCATGGCATTCACAAAAAACATGCCCTGAGCTTTCTATATTAGTGTTGTTCATATTATTCGGATATTACCAAAGTTCTCTGATTATTCGATTAATCGGATTGCAGCAAAGTTTCCGGAATTGAAAAAAAAAATCAGATGTTTTGTATATCAGAGGTCTTCGAATATCCGGATTTACTATTAGTTTTCGCAATGAAATTTTCCGGAGAATTTGTGAGCAAAAGTAAAAGGAAAACATAAAGTGCATATGAATGTACATCACACAAATAAATATAAAATTTTTTAGGGATGATAGCATTCGGTTCGTAAAACCGAATGTGAACAGCATGATTCGATACGCGTTCCAGAAAATCGATTTTTCATTTGAGTCGTTTTAGCAGATATTCATTCATTAGATTATTTTCTCATATTTCATGTTGAACTGTAGTCTTTTGATAGCTATCCGAATACTACAGTACTGTCATTCCCTAACGCTTTCAAAAGTTTAGGTTATCATCTAACATTTTCGAAGTTATACTTATAGGCTTAAGGTTGCTTACTGCTGCTTGTAAGTTCTATTCATTTTTCTGCGAAGATATTCTCTTACTTGAATTACGATAGCATTGAAGAAGAATTTTTGGATTAATACTCCTGGACATTTTTTTTTTAAATTTAGACCAAATGCCTCCGCCATTTTCTATTATCGAATAATTCAATCTATGGATCAGATATGAGCATATAAGAATATTCAAAAAGATAACTATTAATTTGTGTAAGTGAAATTATTATTCTTTGTATCTAGGAAACAAAATCAACGTTTTAAAAAATGTGAAAAGTTAATCATTTCTGTCTCATAAGTAAAGTTATTAAAAACTTTAATGTGTATTGCCTAAAAATCCTATGACCTTAGAGCTTTTCTATATAATATTTAGGCACCAATAACGCAATTAAAAAGCAAACTGTTTCACAAAAAAATGTTAATAATAGTTTTCTGTATAAATTATTTACAGATGGTCGAACATGGTCCAACGATCTCCCAAACTTTCTATAACAGTATTTGCAATATTAACAGTAGAACGTGAGCGATTTGTATTCTCACAACGAAGTTCACTGGCGGATGTTCTCAAACCGGAAAGCTATTAAAGTAAGGAATCTTGTTTTTATTATAATGCTCTCGGAAAGAAGAACTTTTGAAATTCTTAAGAAGTGCTGAAAATGAACTTTAGAAATATATTAATTAAAATTCATTAAGTAACTAATTATTATTTATTATTGTTTTTATTCATTGTGACTTCAAGCCATTGTTTGGCTGAAAGACCGTTCTTATGGGTCCGAATTAAGAATGCAATGGTATGTTAGGCACCAAAATTAATTATATAAAATCAAGTAATAATTTTGTGAATTAGCTTTATATTGTAGTACATTATTTAATCCTATAACTTTGACTTTAAGTTGCATGCTTTTGAGAAAAATGTATATAGATAAACATAAAATACCATTTAAAAAAGTGTGGATATAGAATAAAAAGGTATAGCAATGATTGGAAAATTAAAATTATTTTTTTTAATTTTATTATATATATA